GTAGGGAAATCTGCTTTGGAGAAAAAAAGGAATTATAGCTACGTCAGGGTGGAAATTGGGGCCAAGTCCCTGGCAAATTCACAGCGACTTCAGGGAGGCTGAGACCTGTCTGTGATTATTTCTCCTCTCGAGTGCTCTTGGCCCAAGCACTAATCATGACGAACGTGGACACGCAGCGGCAGTGCCTTTTTGAGGCCTGTGGCTGCTGTTAACACAATCCATTTCTATTCGCTGTACTAAGAACCCCAGCAGCCCGGCTATAATTTCTAAAGCAGCAAGAACAGCTTAGGAGCTCAAATATAAAGTCAGTGTGAGTTGGGTGCCTAATTCCTTTCAATCTTCTTTCTAATTCCCAGCCTTAGGGCTTTGAGGAAGTGGCTGGTTTGATTTGATGAAGAAAAAAGCTGCTCCATTAGCAGGTCTGATGTTTGAGAGGTTTCTTTCAGCCGCTGATGAATCCCAGCACCCTCCATCAGGCCACACTTGCTGCTAGATCCTATTTTCCCTTCAGTGACATTATGTCTTAAACAGGCTTTCACTGTAATAACATTTGCAGTAATGAAATCACCCGGTTGTACGGTCTCCTTTTAACAGCAAAAATATCTGAGTTGGGTACAAAGGGAGATTTAAATGTCACAGAGAATGTGCTGTATGTGTCCATCAGAAGATAAGGTGTCTCTTTGTGGATGAAGGGAGAGGCGATGGGGACTGCTGGGCGTTCGGAGCACAAAGGCTCACCACGGCTCCTTGAATAGGGAACGGGGAGGTTGGGGAAGCAGGGAATGGGACAAGGGAGAGAGGCTGATACAGAGAGCCTTTAATATCCCATGCTGGCTATAGGGCTCCTGAAGATGTGACAATGACAATTTGCAAGTGAAATAAATCAAAATCAGCTCCTCTCTTTCCTTTTGAGTTCACAGTTTGCTCTCCACAGCAGTGGCTGTACAGGACTGGGAAGTGAGGATGCAAAGGGTCTCTAAACTGGGTGAGAATGATCCCAACAATGCTCTAGAAAGCTCACAGAGGCCTCAGCAAGTCAACAGTTAAGGGATATTAACTTTGATATCCAAAGATGCAGGAGTGTGGCGTGGCTGG